AAAAAGAAAAAAAGAAAGAAAGAAAGAAAGAATGAAAGAAAAGAAAAGAAAAGAAAAAAGAAAAAAGAAAGAAAGAAAGAAACGGCCATGTGCCTGACTCAAGCTGACTGAACTGCTAGAAAAAGGCAGCCCGAGTTTCAACTGCAATTGAAACTCGGGCCCTGACTAAACTGCTAAAACGCAGTTTCAAATGCAATTACAAACTGTAACCCTGACTGCGCCGTAGTTTTCTCATATATATATATATATATATATATATATATATATATATATAGTCAAACAGAACTGCCGTAGGCAGAGAGGGAGAAGAGGACAACAAACGAGGGGCAGTGACAAACTGTTTCGTCGGAGTTTCACCGCCTCATGAGGAGGCTGAACCCTCAACAGTCTGCAGAATCCCCTAGTCATTGATTACACTGTAACCCCTCTGAGGAGGTGGGGACCACCAACCACTTCCCGCAAGGTACCTGTGACGAAAATCAAAGCAGACTATCACTCACCCACACCAGATGGAAAACTCTACAGACTGTCGGTTCACACCCCATCACAAGCCAGCAATATATTTGACTGTCCTGCTCCCAAGAGCTAAGGTCCTGTTGCACGCATCCAGAAACTCCTAGAAACTTGGACTTTGTCGTTCAATGCGAGCCAAAAAAAAAAAAAAAAAAAAAAAAAAAAAAATTCATGTTTTTTATTACGTTTTTAAATAAGAAACGGTCACAAATTATTTAAATATTCATACAATAAATCATGAGGGACGTATGAAAGAAAAAGTACAGAAAAAAAAAAAAAAAAAAAAAAAGGTTACAAAACCCCAGAAACCTTGGTTATTCTTCATACCAAAAAAAATCCTAATGACGAGTCCGAAATGAACGTGAAATGTTAACCTAATTGGCTACAAGTTTACGATCATCCGCTTTGATCATGCCACTAGGCATTTGATTCAAGCATTGGACAATGATTCGAAGACTTTGTCGCATTTCTTCAATGCGGACACAATAGCCATTTATTTCCGAATTTCCAGGTGCATTTCGAGGAGACTAGAAACTCAAGGATCCCTTTCTTTGGAGTGGCGGCGGCGTCCTGCAAACGTGATGGAGCCTGATTGGCTGAAAAAAAAACAACCTTTGTTATTTTAGGTTTCGCTAACTGCAAGTAAACCCACCATATACCTTAGGGCATACTCACACTGCGACTTTTTTTCAACCTATTTTTGGACAGAATCGCGACCAGATACATCCAGGTGTCCCCATGGTCAGATACATTTGAGATACTCCAAGTGTGAGTACGCCCTCACTCTAGCATATAAAATTGCAAAATCGCAAATTTGTATTTGTACAACTTTTAGGGTCACACATTCCGCTTATTTCGTGAATTAGCGTATTAATTTTGCAGATTCACGTATCTACTAGGTACATATATGCCAGCGGCCTGGGGAGCCGCGGGCGTACGTATTTTGTGGGCACCTCTGGCTAGTGTTTCTGTGATTTATCTCCGAATTCACTTGCACGGGGCGTACATTCGCACTTGGAGGGCTAGCAGCGATTGTGTCTTTTCCGTTTTGTGCTCGATGAGGGAGAGCTGTGTGACCAGGCAGTGCCCTATTTTATTATAGTATAATAATCGCAAAATCACCGACGCAAAGTTTGCAACTTATTTTTTTTTTGCTTTTGCGACTTTACGTTTTTTTTTTTTTTTTTTTTTTTTTTTTTTTTTTTTTTTGCAAAGAAAAACCATGTTAAACCAGGTAAAGGGAGGCCGGGGGCCAAGTCCCACTAGCACGAGTTTGGTTTTGATTCCGATACCGATGCGGCACGGTGCGGCAGGGGGCGGCATCGTGTGACACCATTTCGAAGCTTCTTTTTTTATATTTGTTTTTTTTTCCCTTCGGAATTCGAAGCTTATTTTAGGAAGTCTGAAACACGGAAACAGTGTCGAAGGGTCCTGCAATGATGACAATCGGCCAGCAGTTTTGGGACTCCCCGCCGTAAGTCGTTGCTCCACCTCACCAAATGTGGAAAATGAGGCTTGGACCCCACTGGCCGGCAGCGTGGAAGTCATTTTCCATTTCCATGTTTACGGGACCCCACTGGACCGCCAGGAAGGTGCGCCAATGCGAATTCGGGACCCCACTGCCAGTGCCGGACTGTCGTGGAAAACCGTCGGAAGCGTTTCCACATGGTCGGCGGCTGGAAAAAACTGTCAGACCGTCCGGCGACTGTTTTCCAAAACAAATTTTTTTTGAGACGGGGGGGGGCACCCCTAAAGATGCCGTACCAGGGCACGGGCGGCCTGGTCCAGTGCACGATGGGGTGGACCGTTTCTTCAAACCACAAACAACAGTGGTGCGTCGCACCGTTCGGGTGTGGGACCGTTCCGTTGCGCGGGGGCTTGCGGTCCCGTGTGCCGAATTTGCAACGGACACAAAATTTGAAATGGGTAGGGCTGTGGGAGCGGGGCGTTCCGCATGGGTGTTGTTGTCCGCTTCGCTCGGGTTGGCGGGAAATTCAATTTCGCGGAGTGCGCACGTCGACCATCCATGCAGTGCTGGGGCATGCGTAGTGTGGGCCGGCCATCGTCGACTTCATACACAGTCGGCCGTTAACAATGTCGGCGGTTCTTCATGTAGCGAGGAGCAGCCGTGAGGCGTGTGTACGTGGTTGGAGGCAGTTGTCTGAAGGGGGTGCTGTGGGATGTTGTCGTCGTCGTTATGTCCACGGCACGGGTCGAAGTTGGCTGCGTGCATGTCCAGCACCATCACGGAGGCAAGGGCTTCTACCCACACGACTGTGCACTGCGCAATCCTATCTGGCGGTTCGGCCTTTGTCGTCGTTCGCTGCAGGGGTGCTCCTTCCACGCTTGTCCGGGATCGGCACGGTGGTTGGTCGTTCTTCAAACCCACCTCCGCATGGTCGATCTTCGCACAACCGCTCTGGCATGACGGAGAGAGTCGTTGTGGACGGTGAGAATGCACATGAATATGTGCATGGCCCGTTGCCGTTCAGTGGCGAAGTGGGAGTGCTTGATCTTCGAACACGGTCGACGGTCGATCATCATCAGTGCTGCTACTGCCGTCCTGTTTACATCTTCGTAACGAACGGGGTGGATGACAGCGGCCGGCTGTGTTATCGTGTGAATGCGTCTTTGGTGGTGCTGTTGTTCTTCTTCGCCTTGGCTGCAGCGGTGTTGTTGGCGGTGATTTTGTGTGGAGTGGTACTGTTGTTGGCTGTGTTCACGCTGTGTGTGTAGCAACAGATTGTTGCGCAAACAGGTGTGGCAAGGGCCTGGCACTCTTCGGGGTGGGGGAAAGATCGGATCTTTCGCACATCTTGCGTCGTCATGGATTCGTCGAGGTGGAGGGCGGATCCGAATGTTGGTGGGGAAGGCGGTTTTCAGGTGGCAGATCCTAGACAGCATGCAGGTGTCGCATATGGTGCCTCCCCATCCCCAGGTATGCTACCGTTCCACAGGGGAGCCGTCGACAGAATGCAGGGGCAGGCCATGGGAGTTCCTTCGGGACCTGGGATGTCGATGCCGCGCATGCAGTCCATGATTGCACGTCCGCGATTGCCTTTGCACCCTGCACCACAGACGATGCCAGTCGGGGCAGGTTACGTCGTTGACGCTTTGTTCAGCGCGCAGCTTGCTGGCGGGTATGCACCGCCGGGTGTGCAATCCATGCCCACCGGAACGGCGTTTGGCATTTCCGGTCAGGTGTTCCCTGCATCTCAGGCCATGGATGGTGGGTATGGCTGTGGAGCGGAGCCGCCATGGTTGGCTCCGTGTGGGCAAAGCAGTCGGCGGACGTTGGGGCAAAGTACTCAGCCGACATTTGGGGGCAAGTCCATCCCTTCCCCCTCGTCATGCAGACGCACTTCGAGCGATCAGTCGGCGTCCATGATAGACGTCGACAGCGATGACAACGGTGAAGTGCCGGCGGATACAACCGGTTGGACGCCTGGAGGAGTTGGCGATGGTGAGGGCACATGGCATGATGACACGGGCGGGTCCAGTTACGGGGCAGATGAAGAAGACGACGACGACGGCACTTCCACGCAGCCGGGGGAGATGAACGATGAAGATGGTGGTCGTCTTGTGGAGGAGGGGGTTCAAGGGCGTCCAGGCGAGGACGCGAATGCGGCGAAGGGTAATCAGCAGAAGCGTGGTGGGCGGCGATGACGTGGAAACTTGATCGACAATCCATCCAATGCGACAACACGATGGCATCGGAGTCACTCCCGGGGAAACGACAGGAACCATCACCGACGGTCGGATCCGACGCAACGGAGACGGACGAGTCAGACAGCTCAAACAAGGCACGCAGAACAAGGACCGACAAAGCGAGGGTTCATGAAAGCGGCTCAGGCGGATCGTCCGTGAACAAAGCAATGGAAGACTCAACGAGATCATATTGTCAGGGCCTTGACAATGCGGCGGTCGCCCTGGCAAGAGCGACTGCAGGAGCAGGCACGGCAATAGCAGCGATAATAGGTGATGTGGCCAATGCAATGAGAGGGGGAAATTATGTGTTAGAACTATTGGTGGGGGTACTTGCCCGGGGGGGGGGGGGGGGGGGGGGGGGGGGGGGGGGGCAGCTTCAGCGGCGGGGACACGGACCCGTCATCCCGATGATATATATATATATATATAATATATATATATATATATATGTGTATATATATATATATATGAAACGGTATGTGCACTGGTCATCGGGCGGCATCGATGTGTGCACCTGGTTTTCGGGAGGGGTTGTCCACACACACACACACAAACACTGCTGGGGAGATCATGAAGCTAGGGTAGGGTGATGTATATAACATCGCACGGGCTACCGGGGAGCACGTGTGCTGGAACGCGATCGCATTGTTGTGTTGTGAGTGTCATTCTGTGGACGTACGTTCTGCGGTCGTCTTCATCATCTCGGCGAAACCGTTCGGTGTGTGCGCAGTTCAGTGTGTGTCGCGGGAGAGAGAGAGAGAGAGAGAGAGAGAG